TAATATTTAAAATGAAAATATGATGTTGGTTGTCATATAGCAATTTGCTAAATAACTACCATATTTTATTAAATTCACATTCTACAACCTCTCCACTGCAAATTCAACAAGTGGAGAAGTATCCAATATCAAACAATAAATTTTCTTTTTACCCTGAGAACCTATAGGACTCCACATCTGATAGAAAAAGACAAAAATGGCATAACTCTTATACCATTTAAGGAATAAAAATAATTAGCTTGGAATTATATATGTATAGGTATGTTTGCTGCCAACAATTCCCTTCCAAAATACATTATCCAAATGGAGACACGAAAATTTAATAAATACTCCATTTCCATATACATTATTTTTATACAGTTGGTAATGATCACTTTAAGGAATTTTGGATAGAAACCATTAAATTTTTAGGTTGTAAAATCTCAATAAAATCTGGAGATCCAAATAAATGTTTTTCCTTAATATCACTTGTAATATTGATTTGATATATAAAAAATTAAATTAATGTATATATAATTTATTATGTTGACAACTAAAATAACATTTGTTTGGGTTTTTATGTAATAAAATAAACTTAGACATAATATTTGATAAATTGAATTCAAATATTATTCATTTTAATATAAAATGTAATTATATTAAAATGTATCTAAAAATAGATATAGATAACCTGAAAAATATATATACATACTTTTTATAACAATGTATCTAGAGATATCACATTTTTGTATCTAGATTCTTTACCAACTCAACTTCTTATGTTTAATCTTTAAATTTTATTATTGGAGTATATTTATAATAATATATAATGAATCCAAAAAATATTTATTTTTAATTTTCAACTGTTCTTTTAGATATAACGTTTATAAAGAAAGGTTTTAATTAAAATATATATTTGCTAATAAAAATAATTTTAAATTAAATGACCAATGAAATAGATAATTTCAACGAAAATCATGTATTAAATAAAAAAAAATACATTATTTCGATTTAATTTGCTTTGAAAGAACGAATATAAAGCATAACTGGTTATCATATAAACTATTGCATCATATCTTAACTCAATGTATCTTATTGTATAAAATCTTGTTTAAGATGATGAAAATAAAAAATATTAATATATTAAAATAGCTTCTGACTTTTTAATTTATGTTTAAATTGGTCAATAGAATATTTATAAGTACCTATGGATATTTAAATAACGCGGTCATGGTAAAAAATTTATTAATTAGCTTGAATATTTGCGAATTTATAAATTTTGGGAAAAAAATGAATGACAATATTACATCTGACTTGTCAGATTTGACGTATAAAATGAATGAAATTATGTTACATTTTCTACAATTTAACAAAAAAAATCAGAAGATTTTATAGCTAGCCTGCGCCGAGCAGCATTTTTTGAAGATTCAAAGAAATCGATTATAATATATCCAGCCGAATGATCATGGTTGCATAAATAAATGAATGTCGTATGAATTATATTAAGTAATATTGAAATTATCCCATTTATTAAAATATTATATTATAAATAGCCAACTATACGATAAATGGCTGTTCAACAGCGTCTACATGACAGGATTTTCATTGGATGTTAAACCTCTCTCAAAAACCTATGCCTACCCCCCTAAAAAATTCCCCCAGTATTAATTATAACTTTTTAATTATAATATAACACCTGTCAAAAATTTTAAAAGAATAACTTAAATTATTTTATCTTTACTACCATCTATCAAAATTTGTGAATATAAAGGAGTTCATTATGAAGAATTCAATTAAAAACCACCTCATTTACAATGAATGCATTATTATTGCATTATGAGCTTGCTGTGAATCTTAAAACCTTTTCAGAAAATTTTATTTGGATAATAATTTCATGTCTATGATTGTATGCAATATATAGATTTGGTCGATGATCAGCAATATCGTTGTATTATAATAGGTCTATAAAAAAATATTAATATTTACAGAAAAATATTTTAACTTATTTCATCTCAAAGTTTAATAGATAACCCCCAAAAAAATTTATCTAACCCCCCCCCATTAAAGGCGCCTACCCACTACCCCTCTCCCTCCTCGTGAAAAAATGGCTGCATTTAGTTACAACCCCCCCTCCCCTACTCAAGTAGACGCAGGACATCAAGCAAGTGTTTTGAAATAGTAGAGTTATTTTTAAAAAATTTTAATTACACCAGAAAATATCAAACTATCATAATTATCGAATTTAGAATCAAATGGTCAACGGCCTAATCCTATGCCACTTTTCGCTCTCCCAGATTTACGTCAGTGGAATATTCAGGACTTATCCGATATCTTCGGCTTCATGAGAAAGAAGATATTTAGGCAGATTTATACTACTCATCTTTTAGTCCTTTACACCTTTATGAAATATAATGAGGTAAATGGCCCCCTCCTTCCTGTAGCCGATACCTTTTTGCTCGCCTAAAATTATTTGAGCACAAAAATATAATATAAATGTTAATAAATAATATTCACTTAGATTAATTTTAGCCCATCTTAACCCCAAGTCAAGCTTCAATCTTTTAATGATGTAATTAAACAATTTTCTGGTAGGGAACACTCGTTGTTTTTGAATAATAGCTAATATGGATTATACCGTTGAATTAGTTAATCCTCCAGTCCATTTTATTCAAAAATTTATTCTACTGAAAATTCCTCGCGAAGATTATTAAAACATATTACTAAATTATTTGTATCAACGAATCTAACCCATGTTTGCTTGATATGCTTAAATACTTTATTTAAACAAGTGCTATTTCATAATTTTTCCTTGGAATTTAATTTGGAAGATTTATATCTAGTAAGTTGATAGATCAATTTTTTTTATGTTTTTATAGGCATTCATTTGTTCTTTACTTGCTATTGACAGTTGATAACTTATCTCAAGTAATTGAGAATTTCATTATTCCTTCATTTTTATCCCCCCCCCCCTCAGAATACTCAGAAAATTTTTGAGGGTTTTTTTTATCAGAATCGAGTTAATTACTTACAAATCAACCTGAATTAATTATTTCATGTTTCAAATTAGTGAATATTTGAAATCTTGACATATTCGGATCGAACTTTACTTTTTTTAGGCCAAAAATCTGCCTCAAAATTAAAACTATAATATAACTATAAAATTTAAAAATTCTAGTTGTCAGGAAACCCATTTTTTTCAGAACTCTTATACTATATTATATAACTACTGTATATCATGGATTTGTGATCGCTTTTTAATTTGCTATACCTTCAAAACATCTTCTTTGATGTGTAATTAATTTATTTTTAGTAATTTTCACTTTAATTTAAACTGGCCAAATATCCTATAGCCAGATTTTTCACCTAAGCTAAAGGTTAAAAAAATATATACCTTAACATATAAGAAAGCATACATAAATTGGAATTCAATGCTTTGCAGATTTTATTTGTCGTGCACCTGCGAATTTTAAAAATTTTTTAAAAGATTATACCAAGTCTTTAGTTTTGTTAAAATAACATTAGTTATTACCAATGACATATATAATACCTAGACTGACGATTCATTCGTTAAAAGTGTACATCAATTTAAATCAGCTGGAAATGCCATCTTGATTACACTAATCATTATTAAAATAAACGAGAACCTAATTTAATCCTAAATCGGATGCAAACTTTATTAAAGAATTACCGGATCATCGATATAATAAGGAAGCAAGTTATCAATTTAATAGTAGTTTTTAACATGAGAATAATTACTATATGTGTTACCAAAATGGCGGGTCCAGCTGATTTGCTTTTAACGACGTATAAAAATGCATTTTAATGAATGAATCGTCAGCCTAGATATTGTATATATTGGTTTTATTACATATAATAGTTTAAGGAAACTTATCCTTGGAGAAATCCTAGCATATTTTTTCAGAAAAAAATCTTTTATAAAGTCTAAAAATAATTTATTACGTTACAAATGAATATTATTACAATGCAACTTTTTATTTTACTTCATTTTTAATATAATTAAAATTTGTAAACTCGAAATTAAAGATTATATCAAATATTTTGAGTTATTTATATATATAATAAAATTACTTTCAATCTAAATAGTTACTTTTGAAATGTAACTGTATCTACCTGGTAGTGCTAAAAAAAATGCACATGCATGCATAAACCAAAAAAAAAACAAAAAATATTGATTAATTAGGTCAAGTGTTTGTACGAAAATTTTCCTAAAGAAAGTTGTTCAAAAAATAATTAAAGTTTCATTAGCGTTAAAAGCCACACAATTAAGTATTAGGCAAATACTGACTTTTAATTATCTCGAATGGCTTTCATTTATATTTAAATCTACTTTTATATCTCATATGATTTGTCCTCGATATTAATAAAACTATAAATTTTGCGTAGAAAATGCATCTTAATAAATATGTTGTAAATGTTAAATAAATATTTAAAAACAATTTAATGTGACAAATTTTGGTCTCTAAAATTATTTGCGGGCAAAATTGTTGTCAAGCTTTCTAATATCACATCGCATACAAACTCAGCGTCTTTGTGAGAGAAAAGAGTTGGAAAAATATGCTTATTTATACCCCTCCCTTCCCACATTTTTACTCTTCATCTCCTTAAGAATATATTCCATCTCCGTTCAAGCACACTTCATATAGTAGATTAACCCTAGGATTAATCTGCTGGGTATAACCTGTTAACTAATATCGGTAAAATCTTACTTGATTATATGGATACGAAAAATAATATAAGCACATTCGTTTTTTGTTTGACAGAAAACAATTCTTTTAATCTTTATTAATGGGAAAATTTTTGTAATAATTAATTAAGTAACTTTATTTACCCTCCCAAAAAAATAATTAAATAAAAACATTAGTGAGTTTTAAAATAAAAAATGATGATTATAATAAAGATATTCTAACAATAAAAACACTGACATAATTCCCGATAAAATTATCTTAAAAAACAAAATAATATAAATTTTTTAATCCATACTTTAATTATTTCTTCCTTTTTTACTTTGTGGTATTATTTAGGATTGGATTTTTATATGTTAAATTGCGTACAGGCGTTTTACAATTTTTGGCTGCCAGATATTGTTTCTCGTAACATGATGGATGAATTTTGAAACCAAACAACTTTGAAACAAATTTATTGATCGCTTTTTTTGGTCTAAACTCTGGGTTAACCAGAAAAAGCATGTGAGGAAAGCCTGTCCCGAAATATGCACCGTCAATGTGTAGATACCGCCCAGAACGCGGATTATAAACATCCATACATTTTGGGCAATACAATTTTACCATATCTTCCCCGGGCACGTCCGACATGCCAATCGGAAGCATATGTTGAGATTCACAGAAGACCCTTGGACAAAACCCAAAATCGCCTTGCTGATATTTTTCGAGCATCTGAGAGATTCCATTGTTTGTCAATATGTATCTAGCGTGGATCAGTCCGTACAACGTTTCCGTCGCCTGTTCCAGGGTGTCATTTCCTATTTGTGATAGGGAACCCTGGGTATCGTCCGCCTCCAAATCTAATATCATATCGAGAGCAGGGCCATAGTGAACCACTTGGTCGCTCAATCCCGTTAGATTAAATTTATCTTGAATGTATTCTTCCTCGACTTCGCAGAAAAATTCGTTTCCACGTAAACCACAGAACCAAGAAATCCAGGATACTTCTTCAGAACTACTCATTGGATAATTTCACTCTCCCTATTATATTTAAAAAAAAAATTATGTAAGAAACACGTTTTAATTTTTTAATTAAAACGTTTACTGACGTAACATTTAAAAAAAAAAAAATACATTCGCTATCATTTGTTTATTTTTTTCTTCTTCCAGTAATATTATTTGATTCGCTGGAAATTGGAATTTATTCTATTGTGGATAGCCAGCCAATAAAATTAGCAGATAAAATTTATCACTGAATTTTCTGAAATTTATGGTGTTTAAGAGCAAATCTGTCACTGATTTTAGTAATGCATCTTGGACATGCGCACATGATAATATTACTTACTAAATTCAGTTAGAATATTTTGTAGACGAATTACATTGAGCTGGTTAGTATGTTGTAGTGCATAATGATTTATTATATTTTCATGTAAGAAAAAAAATATATATACATAATATGGAAATTTGATTATAGTTGTTTGTAGACTTTCAATCTAATTTGGGTATCGCTATTTATTATTTTTAACGTTTAATTGTTTTTAATTAAATCTATAAGTATTGAAAATTAAAATATTATATGAAACGGTAATCAATAAATTAATTTAATCATCGTTAACATAATTCTGCTAAACACCAGTGTCTTAAATACGATTTTTATGTAGGGGAAAGGTGGGACACAGTGTTTTTAAGAGATTTTTTAAACCCTCTTTTACTGTCTATAGTCCTAAATAGCAACTATGTCTAATCAGTAGCTTCAGGGGGATGTAAAAATCTAGTATAAATAATTTTATTAGTACTACTCTATATCAATAATTTTATTAAAATACTTACAAAGTCACTGTCATTAAATCGAGCCTTATATCCAATTACGATTTTTTCAGTGAAATATTTATATCAATTATCCCAGGAATTTTTATCTTGTATTTTATTATACGCAATACTTACGATCCTCTCAAATATTTGATTAGCCGGCGGTGTCAAGAGGAGGTCTTAGCAAGATAGGAATGGAAGTCAACTTTTTTACAAAATATTTGTTCCATCTTGTATTTTATACTTTATTGCATATGTAAATAAATGTACGATCATATGGTTAATGGTTATCATATTTCGGAGAAGAATAACCATAGCGCTGATGACAAAATCTCACACTTCATGTCTGGTACAAAATGTTTCAGAAATTGACAACATTTTGGTGGCAGTATTTTTTACTTTAAGCTTTTGGTATATAACATTTTCGATAACAATTTTAAACGAACCATCAGAAAAAAAAACAGTTTATAAAATCTTTGGAAAAGTATTCCCTGGCTTCAAATCAGTAACTTAAACAGGTAGAATAACTATTACGTCGAATACTAACCTATCTTGACTAAAACCGTCAATAAATATTAAAAGTTATATCTAAATCGTCTATGGCTTGGGTCATGTTTCGAGGTCTTTTTTTACAAAAATTATCCGTCTTTCTTTTTGCTAATGAAGAGGAGGAACCTATTTCTAGGTTTTCTTTATCTTCCTTCAACCATTTTATTTTCTTATGAAGTCCCATGTTTCATCTTTAAACTATGAACAATATTACTATTATAAATATTTATTTAGTATTTACACTTTATGGTAGTATATACTTTGACAGGCATGAAATTGGAACTATTACTATAAATGGGTTAAATTTAAAATAATATATTTTCAAATGGGATAATTAATAAAAAAACTTATTATTCAAAACAAAGAAAAATTTTTTTTAATGGTTATACTTTGAAGAAGAAGAAAAAAAGTGTATGCCTATTGACAGGCTCACATACTGAAATTATAAATAGAATTATTCCAAATGATTCGTTAAAAAATTTAGAAACATTTTTCCCAAATAAGATTAAATAGTTTGTAAAAAAATTATCTATTTTTTTTAAATATTCGCATCAAACGAAAATATTTAATAAATCTTAAACGTGAAGGTTCAAAAATTTGAGGCAGAATGAATAAATGATATTAGACCATTCATTTTTTTCTCCCCAATACAGTCTAAATCGTTTATTTGAATATCGCTTAATTGCAAACACTTTTAAATGCCAAAAAATCCCGCGATTTTGATAAAAAATTACTATGGCATAATGTTAAATTGCATTTATAATTGCGAATCGGTTATTTGCGAAATTTCGGATAATTGAGAAATTTCGGTTAATTACGAAATTTTTATTTCCCATTTATATGACATTAACGTTAATTTAATCGGAATAAGTGAAAAAAAATTTTAGAAAAAAATAATTCGCCATTTTTTTTTACATGAACTGCGCTTTAAAATTTTTTTTTTTAATATACAAAAATCGTAATTTATATATTACGATCAATGTTAAAATTGTTTTTAGAATAAAATATCATTTCAAACAGTAACCTTAACCTCTCTGGGGTATCCTAGTGAATTGTGATGTATGCTTGGAAACAGAAGGTCCCAGGTTCAATCCTAGTAAGGAACGTAAAATTTTTCAAGTTTTTCTTCGATGACTGATGTGTAAAGACATATGGTTAGATAAATTTCGGAGATTAGAGATGACACTCCGGTCACCGACAGACTTGAACAGCCGGGTGCTAGAAAACTTGTCCAATAAACTAAATAAAAGATACAAACAAAAGTATAAATATGAAAGCTAGGGCGTTCTCTCCAAGTGATGTGCAGGTAGTAAAGGAGGCAAATCATTGAAATATCATAAAATGCTTTATTGAAGCTATTTTTTTGATAAGCCTATGGCATTTGATTGGGAATCGTAGGATAATATAACACTAACTCACAATGAAAAAGATGAATTTGACGCTTTATTTGTAGAATATGCGTTGCAATTATGATGTTAGGTGCTAAGGAAAATTGCATGATTAGGACATTTGTAATCAAATAAAATTAGAAATTGAAAGGTTTAATTTTTTTCTCCTTTTTTCCGGTCATGGGTTACTTTATTTATATATATGATAGCCAAAGAAGCTTACCACCAGATTTCTTTGACTCATTCAATGATGAAAATACTTATCTATAGAGTTCTATATCTGCTTGAATATTATATTTATTTTAATTAAAAAAAAAATTTTATTTTTAAACATTCCAATTCCACAACCATCTAACCCCAAATTTAAATACATATCATTCAAAAATATAGATTTTTAGTTAGTTTGTATTATATTTTTTAAAATATAAATTTTTATTTAAACATTACTCAATTTTACACCCTAATACTCATGAATCTTGATACAAAAAAATTAAATTTTTAAATTATATAATATATAAAAATCTTTTTTAAATAACATTTTTAGAATTTTAGAAATAGGTCTTTCATTCATATATATCCCCCCCCCTTCTCCTTTTTTTAGGGTATGTCAAGCATTTGTAATGCCTGCCATAGAAATATAATCTTGACCTAAGCTATTTGTTTTTATAAACATGGGCCCATTTTAAAACCATGTATAAACTCTGGTAAACCCCCTTCAAATGAAATTTTGTACAACAAAATTGAAACAGCCCCCCCCCCCATTATAACCCAAATTTTTATTCTGATTTTTATGATAATTTTTTAAAGTGGGAAAAGCCACCAACCTTAATCCACCTACCCCTTAAATCATGGTCTTTAATTTCTAATTTTTTAACAACAGTTATTATGGAAGTTAATTCAAATTTAAATTCCCTTAAAGATTGGGAGAATCTTTTAACCTTTCCTTTTAAAGTCTTAATTAAGCCTACAGATAAAAATAAAAAAACTATTTTGCATGAATATATAAAATATAAAATAGACCATTTTTATGACTTAGAAATGGAAAATTACGTTCCTGATCTAAGGGCTACATCTGATTTTGCCCATAAATGTAAAAATATCTCAAAAAAAATAGACCAATGGGACGTATGTGGAGATCTTAAATTAGCTTCATCTAATGATAAATTGGTTCCATTTGATTAACATACTTTCACTTTATTAAAAGAATTGCACCCTCATGCTTTTCCTGAAGATCTTCCCATCCCTATAAAATCTAATTTAATCGAAATAGGTAAGGAAGAACTAATTAAAAAAGTTTTATCTTTTAATAAAAACTCTGCAGGAGGGAATTGATGGTATTCGCCCCTCTTATTTCCAATTTTTAATTAACCCTAAAAATCCTTATGAAGATTCATTTGTAAATTCATTGGTAATAATTAGTGAAAATATATTGAACAATTACCTAGTCAAGTTTACCAAATTCTTTTTGGCGCAAGATTAATTGCCTTTTCTCAGCCTGATAGTAGAGTTCGGCAAATTGCAATAGGGTCTTTTTTAGGAGACTATTAGCTAAGATAATTGTGAGCGCATCAAACCTAATGCTTCAAAAATGTTCCAAACATATCAACTAGACTTTGGTACTAAAGGGGGATACGAAATAGCCGCTCACTCTCTTCGCAGATATATCGAGGATCCTCCTCCAGACGCCGTAGTCTGTAAGCTTAATTTTAAAAATGAGTTTAATTCTTAATCCAGAAAAGGATTTTTGAACATTTTTTATGAAAAATTCCCAGTTTATGCAAGATTTATTGAACAGTCTTATGGCTGTAGAACCCCTCTCAAATTCCGGGAATATACAATTCCATCTGACGAAGGTATCCAACAAGGTGGGCCCTCTGATCTTTATTTTATGTCTACATAACCTAATTCATTGTCTAAAATCCTTTTTAATTTGAGATGCAGAGAGAGTTTTTAATTTTTTAAATAATCACCTTCAATCACTATTCCCCAAACTATCGATCTTAAAAAAATTACCTATCCATCAAGCATACTTCTTTCTCAAAAACGCCCTTTTATTACCACAAATCCAGTATTGTTTAAAAACTTCTAGTGCCTTCTCTTTTGAAATTCTTTTAAAAGAATATAAACAAAAGATACTATAAATGATGACAGAGTTATTAAACATCAAACTCGATTCTAAGTCTAACTCATGGCTTCAAGAAACTCCCTTGTAAATCCGGAGGACTAGGCCTAAGATCGGCATTAAGTAGAGCCCTTGTTTCCTTCATCTCATCAACC